GTCTTGGGGGTCCTTCAGGCGGGGGCCAGGCAGGTGGCGCCAGCTGTGCTGCCGCTGCAGCCGCCGCCGGCAGCTCAATCGGCAGCGCCGTCTGACGCCCCGCCACAAACGCCAGCAGGCTTCGGGCGGACTCGTGAAGGGCTGAGGGGCTGGGCGGCCACTCCCCCGCCGAGTACAGCTGTGCCCCTATAGCCACCGCAGTGAGGACCAGGGCTACCGCCGCCAGAGGCTGCAGCAGGCGGGGGGAGCAGCAGCAGCGGCAGCGGCATGGTGGCGGCGGCGGCGCTTTGGCGGCGGCGCGGCAGGCTGGCACCGGCGCGGATGCCGGCCCGCTGCTCATGCCGACGCTCCGACGGCCAAATGTGGGCGCGGGAGCAGCAATCCCCACATGTGAAACGTTTCCCACCTGCGCAGGCAACAGCATGGCGTGGTGCCCCTCAGTTCCCGCACGATGCGGCTCCCAGAGTCAAGCTGCGCAAGGAGAGACGTGTAGAGATGGGGAGCGGGGACTGGCTGCTCAGCAGGGGGCAGCAAGGCGCGCAGGGAGATCCAGCTCGCACATTTGGCGCCGAAAATGCGGCGATCAGGAAACCGAATAAGATGACGTCGAGAACGGGAGAGGCATTGGCGCCCCGCCCCCCCAACCAGCACTTTGCCAAAGGCGGCACCGCCTGGAGCGGCGGCGCCAGCACGTGAAATGGGCACCTGGGGCTGTCATCAGTACGCTGTGCTACGGCGTGCCTGTCCCGATTTCACACATGGCGCAGGCTCTTGCATGACTGCAGGCCTATTCTACACACCCAATTGTGCTGTCTGCCGGCCGACCGCTCCGCCAGCAAGGCTCCACCAGGCCGGCGGTGGCGAGCGGGCACAGGGCGGGCGCGAGGGGGGATGAGGACAGAGGAGGCGCGCCGCCTGGGTGCTGAAGTTATGTATGCCGCCCTGTAATGCTGGTACATCACTGGATTGCGTCCTTCATTTGCCTTGGATGGGTGCTCCGCTGCAACATGAGATTGTGATGGGAGGCGGTGGCAGCACGGCGTGCGCGCTGTGCCTACATCTGCCCGCCAGCAAGCCCGCTTTCAGCCTTCCGCATCATCTGCGCTTCTGCCTTCCTCTCATGCAGCCCAGGTGTCGCTGAGGAGTGAGCAGGCTGCCGCTGCCGATCGTGCCACACGGTGGGTGCGATGTGGGCGCGGGGTGCTGTACAGCTCGGCTTGCAGCGCCCAGATGCCGTTGCGGCCGCAGTGTTACGCTGCGTGCCGCATGCTTGCCCTAACCTCCGCGCCCTCTCGTCCCGCCGCCTGCCCGCCTGCCGCCGCGGCACACCGGGGCAGTCAGCACCAGCTTGTCAACGCTCCCAGATGGCTTCCGCCACTTACATCGCAGCGCTGCTGACGCGCCTGCGCAGTGGTGACGGTCGTCAGGCAGTGCAGGCTGCCAGGACGCTGGTTGACCTCTGTGTCGACAGCGATGACAACCGGGCAGCCATCGTAGCGGCCGGCGGCATTCCAGCGCTGGCTAAGCTCATCCGCAGCAGCGATGCTAGCGAGGATTTTCTGCAGGCCGCAGCCAGGCTGCTGCACAACCTTTCTGCCCACAGCCCTGCCAATGCCATTGCAGCAGTTGGCGGCATTCCTGCAGTGGTTCAGCTCCTGCGTAGCACCGACAGCGAGGAGCTGCAGATTGCAGCAGCCCAAGCGCTTGGCTGCCTCTCTGTGGACAACCCTGGCAACAAGGCAGCCATCGGCGCGGCCGGCGCCATCCCTCTGCTGGTGCAGCTTCTGCGCAGCACCGCCAGCGAGGAGGTGCAGGTGAACGCAGCCAAAGCGCTTGGCTACCTTTCTGTGGACAGCCCCGATAGCAGCGCAGCCATTGCAGCAGCAGGCGGCATCGCTGCTCTGCAGCAGCTGCTCTACGGCACCCCAAGCGAGGCGGTGCGCAGGGCCGCAGCTACTTCACTGCACAGCTTGTCCATCAGCGGGCAGTCCGGAGCTGTGATGATGAATGCTGAAAGCGCAGCACAAGGGGCACACGGGAGCACGGCCACCACAGCAGCAGATGCAGCCCCTGCAGCAGAGGCAGCTCCAGCTGATGCGGCGGCGCCTGCTCTTCCTTCTGCACCAGCTCCTGCTGCCAGGGTGTGCGCGGCGGACGGCTGCGGCAGCACGCATCGTCTGAAGCTCTGTTCTGCGTGAGTGGTGCCCTTGCGCGCAGCTGCAGATTGGCTTTCTGGCGTGCATGCAACTGCCCCTGGGATAGCATCCTGCCGATCTGCCTGTCTGACTCCTTCACCCGTGCGGCCCTGCCCGGCTCCGCCTGCAGGTGCCGGGGTGTGAGGTACTGCAGCGAGGCCTGCAGCCACGCACACTGGCGCGCGCACAAGCCAGAGTGCCGGCGCCTGCATGCCGCGGCGGCTGCCGCTGCTGCTGCCCAGCCGTAGCTCCAGCCCTCGACGGTGCCTGGCGACCTGTCGCTGGCTTACTGAATGCACACGGGCAGCCCCGCTGAGACGAGGCTGGCAGGCGGCGGCAGACATTGCAGCAGAGCATTGGGCTGAGGCACCGTGACGGGGTGGCTGTCTGCCATACAGTGTCAATTCAAACTGAACGTATGACTCGTCCATCATTGAGATGAGCTTGCTGCAGTCTCTTGTGAACGGGGCCGTCTCGGCGCCTGCGCCCGCCAGCCGGCCGCGCTGGGTGCACACCATGGACCCCATGCGGCGATCAAACTTGCCCACGTGCTGCTATCCGGATGTTTTTTCTGTCGTCCTCCGCCTGCTGAGGGCACCCGGCTCTGCGCAAAAGCTGCAGGCAACCTCGCCAAGTGGTGGCACTCAGCCTGTGGCAGCCGTGAGACCTACAAGAGCCGCAGTTGCAGGTACTTGCAAGCGCACAAGCCAGAGCGCCTGCACCTGCGCCCTGATGCTGCGGCGGCTGCTGTGCAGTTCATATAGCGTTCCTACAGCGTCTTGGACGTGGGGCCAGCTGGCGCCGCATTTGGCCGGAGGCGGTGGCGCCACGCGGGACGGCCCCGGTGGACGGCCGCATCTCGCGGAGGCCTCAGCAGCCCTACTTCCGCGACCTCCATTTGCCGTGCTGCTACCATCGTGCACAGGTTCAGCACTGCTGGGGCGTGGCGGCGGTGTCCACGTTCGTTCGGCGACCATGGCTGCCATTTCCTGCGGGTGGGAACCCGGCAGCCCTCCCATGACGGCAGGAAGTGGCTATGAGACGGCCCGAGACGAACTGGATTCAACGGAGCGGCGCCCCCCGCACCCTTTGGATCTGAACGCGAGTGGCATCGGCTCCCTTGACCCCTTGCGGCTGGGTGACGCACGAGCCGCCTGGTGTGCCCTCGCATTGCCATCCCGCAGCCAAGCGCCCCACCAACCGCCGCGCCGCCGCCCTCACTGCCGCCGCTCCCCTGCCACCGTCAATTCTGCTGCTCTGCAGGACGCAAGGCAGCATTCCAGCCCCTTCCGCCAGCTGAACCTGTCCCGAGTCGGCGAAGACGCGCGCGCGGCACCGGTGGCACCCAACCAGCGGCCGGCGCTGCGCAATTTTGCGCAGCTCCGGAAGGCGCAGCGCGAGCAGCATCTCTCCGTTCCGTCTCGTGCGGCCGACGTGCCGGCTGCTGCGGCGGGGGAGCAGACCAGGAGGCGCCAGCCGGCACGCCCGCAGCGCGAGGATGGGCCTGCCGGCCTGCTGCCTGCAGACCCTGGCCCTGCCAACACCGCCGCTGCTGGCGCCCCTGCCGCGGCTGCACCCTTGATGTGGAAGGATGCGGATGAGCACCCGCAGGTGGTGAGTGGCTCGGGCTGCTGCTGGACAGGCGGCTGGCGCCCCTGTGAGGTTTCCCTGGTGTGCTGCTGGCACCGCTCACACAGGATCCCTCGCCACCGCCGTGCCCTGCCCTCTCCTGGCCACGCTGGCTGGCCCGCTGCCTGCATGCATGCTCGCTTGCCTGGCCAGGGTGCAACACCAGGCAAGCTAACGGGCAGGCCGCCGCGCGGTGTGTTGACCTTTGGCGTGCAGGCCGGCCAGGTCAGCACTTGGCACTTCCCTCGTCCGCCGCCGCTGACTCAGCAGCAGGCCACGGGGCGGGGCCCAGCCTGGGGCAGAGCGCCAGGCAGGCGCCTCAGGCCCACCCACCTGCCGCGCAGCCCGCCGGCGGCGCCGCCGACGGCCTGGCGTCTGGCATGGCGGACCTGCGCATCGCCCGCGGCATGACCAAGGCCGAACGCCAGCAGCAGGTGGGTCTGCTGCCTCCAGCACCTGGCCGCCCCATCGCCTCGGTGGCGGCGGCGTGCTGCCGCTGGCGTGTGGTGGCGGCACCGGGGCCGCACGCACGCACTGCAAGCATCGTGCCCTGCCCCCTCCAGTACAGTTGTGGCCTTTTGCCGTGCAGCCCGCCCAGTCCAGCAGCCGTCAGGCTGTCACCATCAGCAGGTCTTGGGTGCAGACAGGGCCCGAGGCGCCGGCAGGGCTGGGCGCCGATGCAACATACCAGCAGCTGCAGCAGCCCCGTCAGGCGCCGCAGCTGCTTTCCCAGCAGCGTGCACTGGCAGCAGCAGCGGGGGAGGCTGCGGGCGGGGCGGCTGGCATTGGAGCGGCGGTTCTGGCGCAGGGCGAGCGCCAGTCTGCTGCCGTGAGTTGGGCCCGCGCCAGTGCCCGCTCGTCTCCTGGCATCGTCCCCTCAAGAAGCAGCATGCTTCCCCTTCAGTCTTGCCTGCGCTGCCTAGCCCTTAGATACCCTCCCACTGCCGGCTGGCTTGCAGTACTGGAACGCCATGCGGGGAGCCAGCTGGACCGAAGTCGGCTGGCAGAACATCCTGCCTGTGCGCCTGGACGGGCAGAAGGACCCCAGCACCCACCTCGTGCTGGCGGAGGTGGTACGGGGCGGGGACGAGGACAGCACCGACCTGCGCTTCTCCATGAAGGCGCAGGGGGCGGCTTTGGTGGGTGCCCGCACTGCGCGCGCCTGCCGCCGCCTGCCACCCCAAAACCCTAAAAACCGCTGGCAGCCCGTGAAGCCCTCACGCTGCCGCCAGGCGCTCTGCCGGCGTCAGCGGTGGCAGGAAGAGGGGGTTCATAAGTCCTGCCTGCCCTCCTCTGCAGCCTGCCTCACATGCGGCCGCGTGCGGGGCGAGCGCTGGCAGCCCGTGAAGCCCTCACGCTGCCGCCAGGCACCGTCTGCGGCTCTGCCGGCGGCAGAGGTGGAAGGGAGAGGGGGTTCATAAGCGCTGCTTGCCCTCCTCCGCAGCCTGCCTCGCATGTGGCCGCTTGCGGGGCGAGCGCTGGCAGCCCGTGAAGCCCTCACGCTGCTGCCAGGCGCCGGCTGCGGCACTGCCGGCGTCAGCGGTGGAAGGGAGAGGGGGTTCATAAGCACTGCTTGCCCTCCTCCGCAGCCTGCCTCGCATGCGCCCGCATGCGGGGCGAGCGCTGGCAGCCCGTGAAGCCCTCACGCTGCTGCCAGGCGCCGGCTGCGGCACTGCCGGCGGCAGCGGTGGAAGGGAGAGGGGGTTCATAGGCCCTGCCTGCCCTCCTCCGCAGCCTGCCTGGCATGCGGCCGCATGCGGGGCGAGCGCTGGCAGCCCGTGAAGCCCTCACGCTGCTGCCAGGCGCTGTCTGCGGCAATGCTGGCGGCAGCCGTGGCAGGAAGAGGGGGTTCATAGCCCTGCCTGCCCTCCTCCGCAGCCTGCCTGGCATGCGGCCGCATGCGGGGCGAGCGCTGGCAGCCCGTGAAGCCCTCACGCTGCTGCCAGGCGCCGGCTGCAGCTCTGCCGGCGGCAGCGGTGGCAGGGAGAGGGGGTTCATAAGCACTGCTTGCCCTCCTCCGCAGCCTGCCTCACATGCGGCCGCGTGCGGGGCGAGCGCTGGCAGCCCGTGAAGCCCTCACACTGCCGCCTGGGGCCGGCTGAGCCTCTGCCGGCGGCAACTGTGGCAGGAAGAGGGGGTTCATAGCCCTGCCTGCCCTCCTCCGCAGCCTGCCTCGCATGCGGCCGCGTGCGGGGCGAACGCTGGCAGCCCGTGAAGCCCTCACGCTGCTGCCAGGCGCTGTCTGCGGCAATGCTGGCGGCAGCCGTGGCAGGAAGAGGGGGTTCATAGCCCTGCCTGCCCTCCTCCGCAGCCTGCCTGGCATGCGGCCGCATGCGGGGCGAGCGCTGGCAGCCCGTGAAGCCCTCACGCTGCCGCCAGGCGCCGGCTGCAGCTCTGCCGGCGGCAGCGATGGCCGGAAGATGGGGTTCATAGCCCTGCTTGCCCTCCTCCGCAGCCTGCCTCGCATGCGGCCGTGTGCGCGGCGAGCGCTGGCAGCCCGTGAAGCCCTCACGCTGCCGCCAGGCGCTGTCTACAGCTCTGCCGGCGGCATCGGTGGAAGGGAGAGGGGGTTCATAAGCACTGCTTGCCCTCCTCCGCAGCCTGCCTCGCATGCGGCCGTGTGCGGGGCGAGCGCTGGCAGCCCGTGAAGCCCTCACGCTGCCGCCAGGCGCCGGCTTCGGCTCTGCCGGCGGCAGCGGTGGCAGGGAGAGGGGGTTCATAGGCCCTGCCTGCCCTCCTCCGCAGCCTGCCTCGCATGCGGCCGCATGCGGGGCGAGCGCTGGCAGCCCGTGAAGCCCTCACGCTGCCGCCAAGCGCCGGCTGCGGCTCTGCCGGAGGCAGCGGTGAAAGAGGGAGGGGGTTCATAAGCACTGCTTGCCCTCCCCGCAGCCTGCCTCGCATGCGGCCGTGTGCGCGGCGAGCGCTGGCAGCCCGTGAAGCCCTCACGCTGCTGCCAGGCGCCGGCTGCAGCTCTGCCGGCGGCAGCGGTGGAAGGGAGAGGGGGTTCATAAGCACTGCTTGCCCTCCTCCGCAGCCTGCCTCGCATGCGCCCGCATGCGGGGCGAGCGCTGGCAGCCCGTGAAGCCCTCACGCTGCTGCCAGGCGCTGTCTACAGCTCTGCCAGCGGCATCGGTGGAAGGGAGAGGGGGTTCATAAGCACTGCTTGCCCTCCTCCGCAGCCTGCCTCGCATGCGGCCGTGTGCGGGGCGAGCGCTGGCAGCCCGTGAAGCCCTCACGCTGCCGCCAGGCGCCGGCTTCGGCTCTGCCGGCGGCAGCGGTGGCAGGGAGAGGGGGTTCATAGGCCCTGCCTGCCCTCCTCCGCAGCCTGCCTCGCATGCGGCCGCATGCGGGGCGAGCGCTGGCAGCCCGTGAAGCCCTCACGCTGCCGCCAAGCGCCGGCTGCGGCTCTGCCGGCGGCAGCGGTGAAAGAGGGAGGGGGTTCATAAGCACTGCTTGCCCTCCCCGCAGCCTGCCTCGCATGCGGCCGCGTGCGCGGCGAGCGCTGGCATCCCGTGAATCCCTCACGCTGCCGCCAGGCGCCGTCTGCGGCTCTGCCGGCGGCAGCGGTGGCAGGAAGAGGGGGTTCATAGCCCTGCCTGCCCTCCTCCGCAGCCTGCCTCGCATGCGGCCACATGCGGGGCGAGCGCTGGCAGCCCGTGAAGCCCTCACGCTGCCGCCAGGCGCCGGCTTCGGCTCTGCCGGCGGCAGCGATGGCAGGGAGAGGGGGTTCATAGGCCCTGCCTGCCCTCCTCCGCAGCCTGCCTCGCATGCGGCCGCATGCGGGGCGAGCGCTGGCAGCCCGTGAAGCCCTCACGCTGCTGACAGCCGCCGTCTGCGGCACTGCCGGCGGCAGCGGTGGAAGGGAGGGGGTTCATAAGTCCTGCCTGCCCTCCTCTGCAGCCTGCCTCGCATGCGGCAGTGTATGGGGCAAGCGCTGGCACCCCGTGAAGCCCTCACGCTGCAGCCAGGCGCCGGCTTCGGCTCTGCCGGCGGCAGCCGTGGAAGGAAGAGGGGGTTCATAGCCCTGCCTGCTCTCCTCCGCAGCGTGCCTCGCATGCGGGGCGAGCGCTGGCAGCCCGTGAAGCCCTCACGCTGCCGCCAGCCGCCGGCTTCGGCTCTGCCGGCGGCAGCGGTGGAAGGGAGAGGGGGTTCATAAGCACTGCTTGCCCTCCTCCGCAGCCTGCGTCGCATGTGGCCGTGTGCGCGGCGAGCGCTGGCAGCCCGTGAAGCCCTCACGCTGCTGCCAGGCGCCGGCTGCAGCTCTGCCGGCGGCAGCGGTGGAAGGGAGAGGGGGTTCATAAGCACTGCTTGCCCTCCTCCGCAGCCTGCGTCGCATGTGGCCGTGTGTGGGGCGGGCGCTGGCAGCCCGTGAAGCCCTCACGCTGCTGCCAGGCGCCGGCTGCAGCTCTGCCGGCGGCAGCGATGGCAGGGAGAGGGGGTTCATAAGCCCTGCCTGCCCTCCTCCGCAGCCTGCCTCGCATGTGGCCGTGTGTGGGGCGAGCGCTGGCAGCCCGTGAAGCCCT